TTTTTTCCTGTCTCTTGAGTGTTTCTGCATGTGGGTTAGAAGATTAGACCCCAACATGACAGACAGAGGAGGATGAAGGCCAAACGGTCTTTTTATTGTGGCAATCCGGAGCACGAGCACTGTATTGCCTCCTGTGGCCACAGAAGTAAGAAGAAGGTCCCTGGGAAGGTCCTTTAGTGTATAAAGACCCATCCATTGTTGAAAACCTTCACCCCATTCTTATTTCAGCAACTCTGCCTAAATAAGGTTTCTAAGCGATCTCTCTGGACTTTTTTATAACAGTGTCATCTAGAGATTTTATCTCTAGAGAGACACATTGAGGCCACCGCATTGGACAGCAGAGCACTTCTCCAAATCACCCAACATGTCCTGGCCATTATGACTAATCCTCTTAGGTAACCACCGTAATAAGATTGCATTGTTTAATTTCTCTTCCTTTTAGATTTTAAAGATTGACAACCCTCAGATGAACTATAGAAATACTTTTATTGAGGCCAGGTCCTCTGACTGCCTCTCAACTTGTCTTCATTCTGTCATTCCTCAGACTAACCATTACGACATTTACACCTTTATTTATTCTCAGGTTCTGAGAGCTAGATGCCAACGTCCTTGAAGACCTTGGACAGGTATTTAACAAAAGCATGGCCTGATTACTTCCACCCCATCACTCTTACAATTGCACAATTAACATTATTTCACATGCACCTCTATTTCACCATGTTTAATACAACATCTCAATCCATGAACAAGAATCAATGAGAAAATGAATCCCTAGCTGCAAGGAGTGTCTGTCTGTCTTCCTATCCTCTCAGTGTATTCTCATTATCAGTTCGTACGAAATCGTACGAAAAGTTATGCACCGTAATTTCGTACGTGTTTTTCGTCGTAGTTCGTCGTATTTTTACGTCTTGCCTCGAGACAAGATATCCTTGCGCATGCGCATCTTACGCACCATTCAATAGCATAGAATTTAACATACAATTAACCCTAACCCTGACCCTAACCCTAAGATACAAAACAGCAAGCAACCTAGTGAGAGACATCAAGAAGTATTTATTGCACTGTTTTTCCCAGTTTTACGTCCGTCCGCGGATCTGCTTTTTTCGTCTGTCTGGCTGCGTATGCGCACTGATCTGTTTTTTCGAGGAAAAACGTCCAAAACGTACGAAATACTGTTCATAACTTTTCGTAGGATTTCATACGAACTGATAATGAGAATATGTTGATCCTCTAGGGGCAGATTTCCTCTCTATCACAAAAAAAGATGGAACCCTACAACCTTGCATTGATTATCTTGGTCTCAACCAAAAAAAACAATAAAAAAAATGCTATCATCATCACTTATCCGTCAGGGAGATGAGAGTATAACAGATTTCTAGACTCCATTAGGACATTTTCAATACTTAGTTATTCCATATGGTCTCTACAAAGCTCCATCAAGTTTTCAGGCACTCACTAATGTTATTCCCCAGATATTTCATAAACATCTTTGTTTTTGTTTTAAAAGCTCAGTTGTAGAGTGGTCAACAGCACCACATTACTGGGGGTGCAGATCACAGACAACCTCACCTGGCCTGTAGAAACCCCCTCCCTGGTCAAAAGAGCACTAAAGTGCATGTACTTCCTTCAGAGGATGAGGAGAGCCCACCTGCCCCCACCCTCCTCACCACCTTCTACAGAAGCACCATAGAGAGCATTCTGACCAGCTCTCTCACTGTGTGGTGTGGAGGCTGCAGCCCCTCAGACTGTAAGAAGGTTAGAAGAGTGGTGAGAACAGCAGAGAAGATAATCTGGGCTCCTCTTGTCTCCATAAAAGACATTTCATCCCAGCGCTTCATGTCCCATGCCTGTAACATTAATAATGACCCCTCACACCCCCACCCCGGACTGTTCTCTCTGCTGCCCTCTGGAAAGAGGCTTCGCAGGTCCAGCAGATTCCAGAACAGTTTCTTCCTACTTCCGTCAGACAGCTGAACTGTTGAAAAAACTCTAAATCATGTCACAGACTCTGCATCACACTAATGAAATCACACTTGCTCAAAATTTCTTGACGTATGGTATTTCCCATATGTTGATGTCTGCATGCGTGCTTCAGCGTGCTCATAACCTAAAAAAAATTACCCATAACTTATCCAACGTATGCCAGCATTTTCGCCAGATTTTTTGTACGTCAGGAATGCGCTAGGTAATCGTCAAGGTGTGACAGGGGCTTTAGGACCAACCAACGAGCAGCTACTGATGTTGTAATTTTTGATTGAAGTGTCTTTCAGTTCAATGCTTTTGTGATTGTTCCAAGTTACTCTTTAGTTGTTTTTCTTTCTGATGAATGCTGCCAAATATGAGACTCAATTTTTCCAATTTGAATATTAAATGCAAAATGATCTCACAAAGATAAAATCTTTAGATCAAGATATAGTCACATTGGTGTGGATCAATCTTATTCCCAATAATAGCCAATCAGTATGTTAAAAGTAGTCATCATAAGGAGTTATTTAAGGTCTGCACAACAATCGGTTGGAGCACTGCTTTGTGATCGTCAGACGCAGGATGTGGCTCTAACTGGGAGCTGTGGCAGCAGCAGCTAAAGCCAGTTGCTACTGAAGGCAGGAATGTGGGAAACAGCAAAGTGAGGGAAGGCTGGATTGTTTCACCTCGTCCATCATTGTCAGCAGCATTGTCCAGCTTGCGCTCACGGTGGCCTTGCTTTAAAAAAAAAAAAAAAAAGAGCCATCAGTTCCATAAAACAGAACAACTTCCGCTGTGAGGTGAAAAATCCCCTCCGAACATGTCAGTTGCCTTTGTTACTCTTCAAAGAAAAGGAGAAAAGTTCACAACTCAAGACTTAGTAAAAAAAAGAATCAGCCACAAGGCTTCCTGGACTCCTGTCATAAAACATTAATGACAAGATCTCAGACAAGAGAATATTTGCTCATTTTCTGGCTAAAATATAATGTGGAAAACCACAGCCTGTACTCCACAGCAATTAAGCAGTTATGCTCTGTTGGTGTTTAGCTACAGGAAGAGATGCTGGAATAAACAACCATTATGCGGAAATATTAATTCAGTTTCTTAATACAGCAGCCATCCCTAATGTTTGGGACCAAATAGATCTGCTAGTTTTATGCATAGTAAGTAGAAAAAGACAGATGCCTTCCAAAGGAGACTGTGCAGAACAGGCAGCTATGATGCATTTTTGTATCATATGCAGTTCTTTGCTGTGGATGCAGACACTTCCCTTTGATTTTAAACACAAACAACTATAAACAGTCTGGCATCATATCACATAAAATCCTAATTTTTGGACACTTCAGAAATCTCTGTTGGAGATTCAATGAATTCAATCTACATAGTAAGTAGAACATCCTACACTTGGAGAGAGCTTGACTGCAACACGGCAGGTTGCGAGACTATAGGGAAATAGAGCAAGAGCAGGAGTGTTAGATGTAATTGGGGGTTAAAGTTGTCTTTTGGTGGTTATTGCATCAACAAATGTGTTGTAAACCCCTTGAATTATGTAACACATATTATGCATTATTTAATAAGGCCATTAAAATCGGACAATAATGACATTTTGTGATAAATTAATCAAAATGTAATACATTAAAGCATTTTGTAATCATTTATACCAAATTGTGCAATTCCATGATTAAATCCTGCTTGGGTTCTCAAAGGTACAAGGTTGCTTCTCCTAAACAAACCTAGATTAAGTAGCTCAGACTGTCCTGGGCTAGTTTCCAAGTCACTGGTGACACGATGTCTTTTCTCCAAGAAGCTTTAAATTCAATGACCTGTATGGTAAATTCTAAATATTTTATTCTACAGATCTTTCTTAGTTCTTTTTAGTTTTTGTGTAAAATGCTCTGAGCAACACTGCTTTAGTTATTTTACTCCACGAGGTGTTCTGGTGTCCACACATCGAAGAAAGATGTTTACCTGATGCTACTGCCTCGGAACTAAATCACCAAATATAGGGCGTTATTAAACAGAATTTCTTTTTTTTTCTAAAATTATTGGTAGCCTCTAGTATTTTATTATTTTTTAAAGCAGGCAGACAGGAGGGAGGATTGCGATTAGAGTGAAGCTAAGGACATGCAGCAAAGGTCACCAGACTCAAACCTGTGACGGCCACGACGAGGACCATAGCCTCTGAACATGGGTCATGCACTTAAACCCTGCAACACCGATGCAGAATTTCAAAGGCCTAAATATTAAGAATCCAAAACACAACATTTATCAGAAATACACTGCTAAAAAAAATTAAAGGAACACTTTGAAAAACATCAGATCTCAGAAGGGGAAAAAAATCATGCTGTTTATTGATACTGATATGGACTGGGTGATGTGTTAGGAACAAAAGGATGCCACGTCATTTGATGGAAATTAAAATTATCAACCTATAGACGGCTGAATTCAAAGACACCCCAAAAATTACAGTGAAAAAATGATGCAGCAGGCTACTCCATTTTGCTGAAATTTCATTACAGCAACTCAAAATGGTATTCAGTAATTTGTATGGCCCCCTTGTGCGTGTATGCATGCCTGACAACGTTGGGGCATGCTCCTAATGAGACGACGGATGGCGTAATGGGGTATCTCCTCCCAGATCTGGACCAGGGCATCACTGAGCTCTTGACAGTCTGAGGTGCAACCTCGCGGCATCGGATGGATCGAAACATAATGTCCCAGAGATGTTTTATTGGATTTAGGTCAGGCAAGCGTGGGGGCAAATCAATGGTATCAATTCCTTCATCCTCCAGGAAATGCCTGCATACTCTCGCCACATGCATTGTGGTGCACCAGGAGGAACCCAGGACCTACTGCACCAGCATAGGGTCTGACAATGGGTGCAAGGATTTCATCCCGACACCTAGTGTCAAGGTGCTGATTGTCCTTGCAATCACACAATATGAGACCCCTAACCCCTACTTCTCTCTGAAGGTGTTTTTAACTTATCATCACCATAATGGATGCAATCTTTTACCAGCATAGCAATGTGCCTGTACACATTTGATTTGTCCTTCTCTTGTTGCCACCATTGTTAAAGTCTCAGCAGTAGTTGTTCTAGTAGATACAAATCGATTAAGCATCTAAAAAAAAAAAAAAATACTCACAAAGGCAAACTGCAGACAAAAGTCGTGTTGCCATGTATGGAGGAGCACAATTTTGGAAGACAGGCTGCAGCACATAGCTGGAGAAAGTCAGAGCAATGACAGCGAGGGTGGTTGGGTACATGATGAGGACTGCGCTCCACAGCAACAGAAACCTGAAGGAAACAGAAAACCAGAGACATGGCACAGCTTCTAAAAACTCACCAAACTTCTGAATGGAACGAATAAGATTTGCAGCTGTAATAGATCCAAACAAACATACCCTATTTCCCAACATAAAAGGACACAAAGTAATAGAATTCACATTAAATGATTTGTCTGTTTAGATCATAGGACAGGGTAAAAAGTTGTCTTTTTGTTGCAGGTTCAGGCATTGAAATGAGATGATTCCAGTTTGGAAAGGTTGTCTCTAAACCCCTGTTCAAAAAGGAAAGGACCTTTAAACATTTTAGCAGTCTTAGGGTTTTAAATCTTCTCAGTGGCTTTGTGTCCCAGTTAAGTTCAATCATTCATCAGGTAAGGCATACAGCCTACATGTGAGTTTAGGGAATAGTTCAAGGTTCTAGTATAACCTCAAATTTATCATCTAATTGTAAAAATGAAGAGATATTCCTGATCAATAACCAAATTCCCAACGGTCCACTGTCTTTTGTATTTTCTACATATTGTATCTCTACAAAACATCATGTTTGGAAGTAAAGGTATCATTAAGTCACTTAAAGATAGAGTGAAGTTAAGAAACTTTTACTCACCCTGTCAATCCGCCAAATATTTCCGTCACATAGGAGTAGTCGCCACCAGATTTAGGAATGGTGACGCCCAACTCAGCGTAGCACATCGAGCCTAGAGCAGCAACACAACCTCCTAGTACCCACACCACCAAGGCCAAACCCACTGAACCAGAGTGCTCCAGGACTCCCTTTGGAGAGATGAAGATCCCAGAGCCAATGATGTTTCCTGTGAACAAGGAAAGGGGACACATTTTACTGACATTTCCGTCTCCCATTAAAGTAAATTCTGCACAATAATATCTGTTTCAGGTTTGATACCACATAGTAATGCCAAATGAAAAAAATCCCTAATAATGGGAGTGGTTTTCTTAAAAAAAAACCTTGAATGTTGGATTATTTACAGCAAGCACTTGTGAGACATTACTCTTTTACTGGGATTTAGACTCTGAATAACAACGATCTGGCACTCAAGGATCCTCAGTTCTTTGCTTGTTACGTTGCAGACTCCTTACAAACCAGGCAAACCATGACAACAGAGGTCAGAGTCATCAATAACAGAACAGAGAATCAGAGCACATGTACTGGTGGGAGAACCATTCTTCCCTAAAAAAGAAACAAAAGCATCTCTTCAACACCAGAGGGAAATGTGCACTTTGCATAAAGAGAACATAAATTTTGGCCAGTTAACCAACTTTTAAATGTGCTTCTCCTTGGATGTAATATGGTCCCATTTACTTCCTGGTTGTCTATGTCAGTGTTTTCCAACATTTTTTGTCTTGTGTACCCCTTTAGTCATTTTGTCCTACTATGAGTCACCCTCTCAGTCAAAATTAGTAATGATTGTCCAAAAGTGGAATGTGAATATAACTGAATGTAAAATAAAAAACAATTTTAACTAATCTTTTAATTTGAGCATTTAATTCTTATCATTTTAATAACATAAATATGTTGCCTGGCAGTTAGTAAGGAATTGAAATAAATATAAAATTTTATCATAATATAAACCTGTATTTATAAAAGTGGAGCTCCTCTGAGTAACTACCTTATAATCACCTTTAAAGTTGGGAACAAAATACTGCACAAAATTATAATTAGACTGACTTAATTAGTTTTACATTGTTTCGTCTTTAGTTTTTATTTGTTTCATCAAGACACCTGAGCTGCTTGGATGAGCTCCTATATCTCAGTGTAAAAAACAGCTAATACCAGGCTGTTCTCTTCATCCATTCTGCTGAAGGCTGAAAGTGAACTCAAACATCAGAAAAGCTTACTTTTTGGTCGAAAAAAAGTTTTTTTTTTCAATTGGGTCCGGAAAAAGCAAAACAGATCCCAGCGCTATTTTATTTTACTACCTAAGAAATAAAATATTTTCATGTACCCCTTGCAATACACTCGCAGACCACTAGGGGTGTGCGTAACCCCGGTTAGGAAACACTGAACTATGTCATTCCCTCAGTGAGTTTTTGTGCATCATCTTCTTGTTCTCAGCAGCTAGCTTTTGGACAGCTCTTGGCTCCATGGCCAGTAAGCCTGATAGAATCAATGATATCTGAGTGACCTGATTAGATGTTGGATGGAGCGTTCATCACCTTATTAACCAAATATCAACAAAAGATCTTTGAATTCAGTTCTATGAAGACTGGTCAGTGTAGCTCTACAGTCTGAAACCAGTTTTTATTCAAAATGTTATTTGATTCATGGCAAAAGTTTTATTGGCTTGTTTCAATAGCCCCTTTTTCACAATAAACATACACATCACATTTTGTATATATTTGTGTTTTTTTCCAAACATATTTTTGTGGACCTGCTCGCACCTTATATGCCTTAATACTGCTGCATCAGCGGGTCGCTCAATGTGTGCTGTTGAGTTTAATCATTGTACCCTGTAATGATAAATTATTATATTAAGTGTACTTTAATAGAAAAAAATTTTTTTTATTAGGCCCACATTTGAGAAATTTAAGTTTTGGTGGCCTTAGGATTGCGTCTCTGCTTTTCGCAGATGATGTGGTCCTGTTGGCTTCATCAGGTAGTGATCTGCAGCTCTCGCTGGATCGGTTCGCAGCCGAGTGTGAAGCGGCCGGGATGGGGATCAGTGCCTCCAAATCCGAGGCCATGGTCTTGAGCCGGAAAAGGGTAGAGTGCCTTCTGAACCTCATCTATGGTCATGAACTCTGGGTCATGACGGAAAGAACGAG